GAGCACACCTTTAATCACAGCGCTTGAGTGGGAGAGGCAGGCGAATCTCTGAGTTTGAGGCCAGCCTGGTCTACAGAGTGAGTTCCAGGACACCCAGGTATACACAGAGAAACCCTGTCTCAACCCTCCCCCCTGAAAAGACCTATTACTTATGTTTATGTACGTGTGCGTGTCTGTGCACATGAGTGCAGTTCCTGTGGAGGCCAGAAGAGGGCATCAGATCACCCAGAGCTGGAAGAACAGTACGCACTCTTAACTCCCGAGCCAGGTCTCCAATCCTAAAATAGTGTCTTTATGAGGATCGGGAGCGCTGGGACACAGTCATCAACGGCCATGTGAAGGCAAAAGCAGAAGATGGAGACACAGACACAGACACAGCGGAGGAACGCCCAGCAGGAAGCTGCGCGCCTCCCCTAGCTCCTCCAGGCAGGCCCCAGGCACCGTGCTTCTGACCTCCCGCCCCACCCATGTGCTAACGTGCACAGCAGCCTGGGAACACAGCCGATCGGGGAGAGGGGACTCCTGCTCTTCCACGGTCACCCACACCCCACTCACCTTCCGCTCTGCCAGTATCCTCCGTGAAAGAACAGCAAGAGGGGGGAAGCTGTAGCAAAGGCAGGGGGCGCTGGTGAGTCTCGCGCCCCGGGGCCTCTGCCGGGGACCAGGAGCCCTGCTCATCTCACCCTGGGAATGCTCATCAGGAAAGTAGATGTCCATTTTCTCCCCTTCGCCATCTCCATAGGGGACATCCAGCTGGTTCCTCCTGGTGGCCCGGGCCTTCCTGGTAGCTGCAGAGGCAGACAAGTTAAGCTCCCAGCGGGAGGCTTCCCCAGCCCTCACACCTAACCTATCTAAGCCTTTGAAGGAAAGTGATCTATTCCTTTTTTTTTTTTTCTTTTCTTTTTTTTTTTTTTTTTTTTTTTCTTTTCTTTTTTTTTTTTTTTTTTTTTTTCTTTTCTTTTTTTTTTTTTTTTTTTTTTTGGTTTTTCGAGACAGGGTTTCTCTGTGTATCTTTGGAGCCTCTCCTGGTACTCACTCTGTAGACCAGGCTGGCCTGGAACTCACAGAGATCCGCCTGCCTCTGCCTCCTGAGTGCTGGGACTAAAGGTGTGTGCCACCACCAACACCGGGCAAAAGCGATCTATTTCTACTTGCATTTTTTATTATGTTTTTATCCATACATTCAACGTACGTGTGCATGTGTTAAGGTGTGAACTAGTCACAGTAGGCTTGTGGGGATCTGGGGGGTGGAACTCAGATCTTCAGAGGACAATTTACAGATGTGTGTGTGCCTGTGAGGGTGTGAGCGCTACCAAGCACTTCATTAACTGGCCTGGCTCCCTGTCCCTTGCTTTATTTGTCTTTGTTTATTTTTATATTTATTTAAAATATTTTTTTTGAGATAGGATGTCCCTGGCTGTCCTGGAACTCACAGAGATCTGCCTGCCTCTGCTTCCCAACGGCTGGGATTGAAGGTATGCACCACCACACCTGGCTCCTTGTTTTATTTTTTGAGGCAAAAAAAAACCCAAAAAACAAAAAAAGTTACATGGAACTCAGGCGGCCAAGCATTACCTGCTAAACCATCTTGCCAACCTGAAATAATAATAATCTTGAGACCTCTAATTAAGGAAAGGGACATCTGAATCTAAGACAGTGCCTTTTGAAAGAGATTATTTTATGCCTTAATCCCAGCACTCGGGAGGCAGAGGCAGGCGGATCTCTGTGAGTTCCAGGCCAGCCTGGTCTGCAGAGCGAGTTCCAGGACAGGCTCCAAAGCTGCAGAGAGAAACCCTGCCTCGAAAAACAAAACAAAACAAAACAAAACAAAACAAAAAAAAAAAAAAGAAAGAAAGAAAGAAAGAAAGAAAGAAAGAAAGAAAAGAAAAGAAAAAACAAAGTGGAAAAGGATTTATTTTATTATTCCTAACAAAAACTGGAACTGGCGCGGTGGCTGCTCTAAGAGGAGTTGGGTTTCATTCCCAGCACCACAGGGAGCAGGCCCATCTGCTCTGGGGTGTTAGCCACTTCCTTAGCTCAGACTGTATACAATGTGGAAGACTACTTGACCCACAACACCCCTTTCTTTGAGTAAACAATGTTTTATTGGCAGCACTGGGCCAGCTAAATATCCAACGTATCCCTACCTCATGCCACAAAGACCAACTCCCGATAGGTTAAACACAAAACAGACTTTCAGAAAGCACCACGGGAGCTATCAGGATGGCTTAGCGGGTAAAGGGGCTTGCCACCACGCCTGAAGATCTGAGTTCAATCTCTGGGACCCACGTGGTGCAAAGAGAGAAACAATCCCTGAAAGCTGTCCTCTGCTGCACACATGCCTCTTCCCCCCACTCATAAAAGGGGCGACAGCAAAACAGATTTTCATGACCCTGAAGTCAACAAAGACCACACACAACCAGAACCCCAGAAATATTTAGAAAAGAAATGAGAGACTGGGCTGTGATCTGCCAACACTAGGGAGGCCGAGGCAGAAGGGTCTTACATGTGCTTACGGTAAGACTCTTTCTCAACAAAACAAAGTATTTCCTCATGCAAACAGCAAGCGCAGGTCACACAGTCATTCTTTCAGCCAGCCACATCGCCTTGTCCCCGCTGCTCTGCCCACAGCTCCTCTCTCTAAGGACTCTCTCTCCACCGCCTATCCTCAAGCAGGGTCCCACTCCCATCAGCACTGAGACTTCCTGGTGGGCTCTGTCTTGTCCCTGGAAGGCAATGACACCCCTCTCTATCACAGTGGGCATTCCATATGGCCACTCCTCGGCTGAGATCCACCCTTGGCCCTGTATAGGTTATCTTGGGCTGCGTAACAACACATTAGGGCTTGTACAACAGAACTTCACTCTCCCCTACTTCTGGAGGGAGAGGTTTCTGGTGAGGCCCCTCTCTCCTTGGGCTGCAATCCTGCAGTCAGTGCTTCACTGAGAGCCTCTGGGCCAGTTCCACACCTGGGCTGTCACAAACCACCCAGCATTCCCTGTTGACCCTGGGAACTAGCACCGGCAGGAAGTGTAACGTCTGGGCTGGAGAGGTGGCTCGGCCACTAAAGGCTAGGCTCACAACCAAAAATATAAGGAAGTGTAACTTCTGGGTCAAAGGGTGGTGCTTGTCTTTAGGCAGTTTGGCCTGTGCTCTCCACAGAAGCTCCCAACAAGTGAGCTGTGTGTGCCTCGGGCCAGGGGTTGATCAAAAGCTAGCGACTTCATTAAGAGTCCTGACAGTTTGCCTGGCTGGGTTAATTTTGTTTTTTTTTAAGATTTTTTTTTAAGATTTATTTATTTATTTAACATGTATACAGTGTTACGCCAGAAGAGGGCACCAGATCACATTACATACAGATGGTTGTGAGCCACCATGTGGTTGCTGGGAATTGAACTCAGAACCTCTGGAAGTGTTTGGGGCATCACAGGTAGAAATCCGATAGGTATCTGATGGAGAGGGTATAAGTTTATCAGTGAGAAAACAAGATCTATATTTAGAACCCATTTGAGCAGGGTATGGCCAGCTCTCAAATTGTCCTAAGTGTTCCCTGATGAGTCATAGGAAGGTAGGCATACTTTCTGGAACTTCTTGATTTGTAACTGGGTTAAATTTACTTGGTGCAGGTGCATGGGAGCAAATAGTCAAAACACCAGCGGCAGCTGGGTTGTCACCTGTTACCTGTTTCAGGAAGGTGGAGGCAGAAGGATCAGGGGGCTCACGGTCATACTTGACAAGCTCAGGTAGGGGCGGAGGACTGAGGCTCGGGCTCAGAGAATTTTCAGTTAAAATGAGGACCACACAGACAAGTGAAGCAGGGAATAGACACAGAGAAGTGGCGCTCACAGAGCAGGGCAGAGTCCAGTGAGGAGGCTCACAGCCTCCTGGAACTCCAGCTTCAGAGACTCTCACCCCTCTGTGGGCTCCCTAAGCACCAGGCATGCCTGTGGTGCCCAGACATGCATGCAGGCAAAACACCCATACACATAAAACAACAACAACAAAAATTTTAAAAAATAAAATCAATCTTTAAACAGTAACCACAAAAAGGACTTACAGAAGGAACTGGAAGACTGGATTTAGGCACCTGCCTACCCACTGAAAACCTTAGGAAGGACCAGCAGGATGGCTCAGTGAGCAAAGGGACTTGCTACTATAGCTGTGGTTCTCACCCGATGGGTCGCAACCCCTTCAGGGGTCACATACAAAGGGTATTTACATTGTAATTCACAAAAGCGTGAAATTACAGTTATGAAGTAGCAACGAAATACTTATATGTCTGGTGTCACCATAACTCAAGGAACTGTATTAAAGGGCGCTGCTTCAGGAAGGTTGAGAACACTGTACTACAGTGTGGGCCACTGGCCCATGGCAAGCAAATAACGAAAGGTCAAAGCAAAACTTGTGAAACACACCCAGCCTGGCGAATGTTCATGGGGCACCGCCAAGGGCCGAAGGTGGAAAACAAGCCAGTGTTCACAGAGGGAGAACCAAACTGTGGCGCATGGTGGAATATTGCTGGACCATGAAAAAGGAATGCAAACCTGTTCCCTGCTGAAACGTGGATAGATCTCAAAGACATCACCTAACGTACAGCTCTGTTGTGTTGGTAGCTCTGTGGAGACAGAAATCGGTGGGGAGGTGTGGGGGCTGGGGGAGCCAGGGTGTCGAGCCACTGCTTACGGGATAGGGGTTTGCTCTACAGATGACTAAAATGTCTGGGAACTAAAGCTAAGTCATATTTGTAGTTCTTGCACTGGAGAGGCTGAGGCGGAAGAATTTCAGAGAGTTCAAGTTCAAGTGAATACCAGGATATTCAAGCACATAAAATAATAATAATAAATAATCAAGGAAGAATTGGGGCTAATGTTTTGCAAGTTTTTGTTCTCTTCCATCTTATCGAAGTAGGAAAATCCTAGCTATAAGGTAAGGTCTGCTAATCAGCCAATGGGAGCAGCTACTGTCAATCACAAAACCCCACCTACCTCTCCAGGAAGGTGATTAGTCCTCTGAGAGTCAAGGCATGCCTTGAGTCTCAAGGAGCAAGAAGTGTACCAAGCCCTAAGTTAGGGCACCTTGCCAGGAAGCCTGGTCTGTCATATCCCCAATGTCTCCCTGTCCAGCCAGAGGACAAGTAGTCCTAACATGGCCACTCAGCTCTGCAAACCAGAGCTCCCAGAAGGAATTCCACAGCCATTGAATGGAGCCCCACACATAATTAAATCTTTTACAAAACAGCTGTGAAGCAGGGCATGGTCACACACCTTTAATCAAAGCATTTGGGAAGCAGAGGCAACGGATCTCTGAGGCTGAGGCCAGCCTGTCTACAGAGTGAGGACAGCCAGGCTGCACAGTGAGACTCCTGTCTCAAGGACACGCTGGAGCGGTTTCCCTCTCCTCTGCCCTTGCAGGGAGGTTCTCTGAGATGGCTGGAGAATGCTTTTCAACTTTTCCCCAACACCATCGGTTTACATCACAATGAGGTAACCTCTGAGCCTCAGGGGCAGCTCTGAGGAAGCCTTGGGACAGCTTAGAAACACAGGGGAGGGAAGTGGTTTCTGGTTAGTAGTCGGGTGGACAATTTGACCTTATCCGGCAGGGAATTGGGACATGCCTATCATATATAAACTATAAGGAGGGAGAGGGAGGGAAACAGAGAGACAGAGAGGGAGAGAGAAAGAGAGAGACTTGACTTTTACCAACTCAATAATTAAGGGCCACATTTTAATGCAATAGCCTGTTTGTTTTGATCTGGTTTTGTTTGTTTGTGTCTGAGACTGGCCTCTAACTCACTAAGTAGCTGAGGATGCCTGGTGCTCCCGTTTACCACTGGGGGAGAATGGGATTATAGGTGTATACCACCATGTCCACCCAATGCAATACATTTAAAAATAACAATAAGTGGGGCCAGTGAGATGTCTTAGCAGGCAAAAGCTGCCTGCTGCCAGTGAACCCTTACAACCTGTGCTTCATCTCACGTGGCAGGAGAGCAGACTCCAGCATGCTGCCCTCTGACCGCCACGTGCACACATGGCACTCATGCCCACTTATATGCACACACAAAATAAATGTACACTATGCCGGGCGGTGGTGGTGGTGTGGTGGCACATGCCTTTAACCCCAGCACTCAGGAGGCACAGGCAGGCAGATCTCTATGAGTTCGAAGCCAGCCTGGTCTACAGAGCAAGTTCTAGGATAGCCTCCAAGGCTACAGAGAAACCCTGTCTCGAAAAACCAAAAGAAAAAAAAAGTAATTTTTAAAAAAAAGTTATTTTTAAAAACTGCTAGAGGCTGGGGGCTGGTTCGGTGGCAAATGTGCTTGCCTGGGAATCACAGGAGGAAGACAGTGGGAAGAAAGCTGAAACCCAAGCCCTGCTAGGACACAGCTCACTGTGTAGCCCTGGCTGGCCTTGAACTCCCGACCCAGACCACACTGGCCTTGAACTCTTAGGGATCAGCCTTGAGTGCTGGAATCAAGAGTTGTGCCACCAGGACAGCCCTGCTGGAATTTCTTGAGAGCTGAACACAAGGGTTTCTGAGCAAGCTGGGGTTTCTGGCTACTCTGAACTCTGGCCATTTACGGGTGACGTCCTTCCCCCAAGCTGGCTTTTTTATCCCTCTAGACAAGACAGGCAAATGGGCTCACTCCAAACCCACACATATCCACGTATTTACTGAGATGGCCTTCCGAGCCCAAACCAGGCAACAGCTCCACCCCACACTAAAGGGACAAGGACCAAGACAGAAAGTGTGGATGAACCCCCAAAGCCTGATCCACCCTGGCTATCTCTGTTGAGGAAACTCCCTAGTGCAGGGTCTGGTTAGTCAGCTGAGGCCAGGCAGGAGGCCAGCATCCAGCTCCCCCTCTGAGAGAGGACAGCTAGCAGCCTCCACACCCTACTCTCTCCTAAAAGCAGCTTTCCACTCAGCATGGACGCCTCACCAAGGGTTAGAGCCACCGCCCAGCACTCGGGCTGACCGAAGACCTCACACACACACAATCCCAAACTTTGATTGTTTTAAAGGAAACCAAGGCTTAATTCCTACCCATCGCCACTCCCTTCCTCCCTCCCTCCCTCCCTTCCAATCTTCCTAGTCATGGTCTCATGTATCCCCGTCTGGCTTGGAATTCACGATGTAACTGAGCATAGCCTTGAACCTCTGCTTCTCACAGACATGCATTACCATGTAGGTTTATGCCTCATTATGCCTCACTGAGAACTGAACCCAGGGCTTTGCATGTAGACAACAGTCCACCCAGCATACCCTTCCTCCAGCACCTCCTTCTACACAGAGCAATGATGTGACCTGGGCATAGTGATCCATACCTGCAACCCAGCACCCAGGAGCTGAGGCAAGAGGTTTATGTGTTCGAGACCAGCCTGGGTTACATAGTAAATTGAGGCCAGCCTAGGTTACACTGAAAGACCCTGTCTCAAAATAAAATAAAACAAATTAAAAACTGTTGGTTGACAGCTAGGTGGTAGTGGCACACACTTTTAATCCCAGCACTTGGGAGGCAGAGGCAGGTGGATCTCTGTGAGTTTGAGGCCAGCCTGGTCTACAGAGCGAGTGCCAGGATAGGCTCCAAAGCTACACAGAGAAACCCTGTCTTGAAAAACCAAAATAAATAAATAAATAAATAAATAGCAACAATAGCTTGCTTTCTTCCCTTTTTTCAGCTCACATTTCTATGCTAACCCTAACATGACCTTTTAGAGCAGTGTTCTCAACCTTCCTAACACTGTGACCCCTTTTATACAGGTCCTCATGTTGTGGGGACCGCCAGCCATAAAGTTATCTTCATCCCAACTTCATAACTGTAATTTTGCTACTGTCTGTCATGAACTGCAACGTAAATATCTGATATTTCTGATGGTCTTAGGCAGCCCCTGTGAAAGGGCCGTTTGACCCCCAAAGGGGTCTGTGACCCACAAGTCCAGAAACACTGCTTTAGCGCCTGGAAGCCCTTGCCAACCGGGAGGGAGGAGAGGCTGTGTTTCACTAGAACTTGGCTTCATCCAGGCCTCGTCTGCCTCCAGCTATAGCCCCACTTCTTGCCCAGGCAGCAGAGGTTATAAGGGAGGTACGCCTCAGCGCTTGGGTGCAGCCCCCACCCATAAGTGGCCACGGTGTCCACAGTGGTCCCACAGTACCCTGGCTTCCTGTCCGTACGAAGGTGCTGACAACTTCCTCCGCTTTCATCCGGATGACCCACCTGCTGGGCGAATACTGTCTCTCCAGCTCCTGTGGGCAAGACGGTGCTTGTGAGATGCCCCCTTAGCTGCATGTGCCGACCCTAACCCTAACCTACCCCATGACAGATCCTCCTGTCTGCTTCTCTGCCCTGAAAAGACCCTCTGTAATACACTCAGCTTCCTTCAAGCCCTTTCAGCTTCCACTCCCCACACCCCCCACTAGCTGTCCCCAATTAGGTATTTCAGGAAAACACTTAAGTGCCCTTAGATTGGTGGCAAAGCCGGACCCCAATGGCAGCCATGCCTTTAACCAGCTAACAGCCTTCATGGAGATGAGGTCTGTAAAGTGTTCAGTTAATGACATTGGGAGCCCACATTTCTACAGAAACTGAGACCACAGGAGGCCAAGCAGCTCCGTGGCCATTAGCTCGGTGATCAAATAGCGTGACTCCATTTTCCTAAGAGGACAGTATTCTGATCACAGCTAGACGAAGGGTCACAGGAACAGAGGTGAGTGAGAGAAATCAAAGGTCAGTTTGCAAATGCTGCCCAACCAAATGGCTAAAGCATGGGGTGTGAGGGAGGCAGCTGGGACACAGTGATGTCAGCTGTAATTCCAGCGCAGCAGAGGCAGAGGCCGGAGGAGCAATGCAGTTTTGAGGACAGCCTAGAATATAGCAAGGCCCTGGATAGATAAGTAAGTAAAAAGAAGGAATGTAACCAACGGCAGAGCACAGCACCACGAGAGGAAAATGTAAGATGCCCACATTCAACACAGAAAGTAAGGAGACAGATTACAGACAAAGGGCCCTCTGCCAGCACTGTGGGACTCCTGAAGATGCTGTGTCATTACACAAAAGGCCTGGGGCTGAACCCCATCAACTTTCAATGCTTACTGGCTGTCTCTAGCCTCGGTCTCCTCATTGGTACAATGAGGGTGCTGGCACCCCCATTAAAGGGTTCAGAGAAATAATGTAAACCACACAAACATAGTTGGCTCCCCCTGTTGAATGGCACTCATGGTCAGTGTTAGTATCCAGGCATCTGCACTGGCCTGTCCTTGGGGTTCTGACAGGATTCACCCTCAGCTGCAGACACTAAGAGCACCACCTGTGCACATTCACTATCTTCCCTTTGAAAAGAGCCCTGCCCACCTCCTGTGTCTGTCTCTCTCTCCTTCTCAAGGTGTCTCTCTGCCCCTCCAACTCTGCCTCTCTCTTCTCTTCTGCCATTCCGTTCCCATAGGCCCATCTCCCCTCTCCCCTTCCCCATTCACCTTTCCCCCCAATAAAAGCCCCTCCACCCAAGCTCTGTTCGAATGTCATCTTTCTCTCGAGCTGCTTTTAAAATTACAACAGTCAGAGGTCTTCTGAGCTGTAGAGCCCTTGATACCCACTGGATGTTAGGGCTCCACTTGGCCCTCCAACTGTTGTCATCTTTATAGGTAGCTGAAGCTGGCCTTAAACTCCTCATCTCCTGCCTCAACCTCCCAAGTGTGAGATTATACCCACGTGCCAAGATCCTTTTTTTATTTTTAAATCAGTGTGTGTGTGTGCCTCAGAGCATCCTCTTGGAGCTGGAAGCTGTGAGCCGTCTGACGTGGGTGCTGGGACTCAAACCCAGGTCTCTGGAAGAGCAGTACATGCTGAGCCATCTCTGTAGTCCCTTTCATCATTTTTACTACTAGTATTTATTTATGACTAGTACTATTATTTATTTATTTATTTACTTATTTATTTTTGGGCTTTCAAGACAGGATTTCTCTGTGTAGCCCTAGGCTGTCCTGGAACTTGCTTTGTAGACCAGGCTGGCCTCAAATTCAGAAACTTATCTGCCTCTGGCTGGGATTAAAAGTGCTGAAATGCACTTTGCGTATGCCGTTGGTCATCCATGGCACATAACCAAACACAAGTTCATATTGCGGAGAACACTTCTAGGCATGCTCACTGTGAGCCATAAGGATTTTTAGCTGGAACTAAATGAATGCTCTCAAGTCACTCAATACTGTCTGTCCCTGACGGTGCCTGCCTTGCTTAGCGAGTCACAGCAGGGACCCCAGCCTTTGACAACTTTCAGACCCTGGCTACATAAACATAGACCCACATTGCACAACCTCAGAATAAGGTTCAAAGCCTCAGCCCCTTAGCTCTGCTGGACTTCAGTTTTTCCCTATCTCGTCTTCAAAACCAGGTTAACAAGCTAAACCTGCCCTGAAGGGAGAAAATGAGGAAACCAGGCACGTGGTCTCCCGGAGGGGTGGTCGAGTGCCTTCCTAACATTCCGGCCCGGGTTCTGGGCAGCTGCACCCCACCTACCTCTGCAGACAGGGTCTTCCAGGGCGGCTCGCCCGCGGGGAGCGCAGAGGCTGCCATAGCCGGGTCCAGCTCAGAGGGCGAGCAGCTCGCTTTGCAGGGACAGGGGGAGAGGGGCGGGGCCCACATGCGCCCTGGCCTTGGCACGCCTCCGTCTTCGGCTGCGATTGGTCGGTGAGCTTTTAAAGGAAAGCGCGAACCTGAGGACGCTTCCCACTCACCGACCCCGGACCTTGGCGCTCAGGCTCGCACAGCCGCCATGAATTACATCAATCTGCCCACCGTGCTGCCCGGCTCCCCCAGCAAGACCCGGGGCCAGATCCAGGTGCGGGGTCCGGGCTGCGGGGGTCGTGGTGGTGGTTGGTGCCGGGGCAGGCGGGAGCAGGGACCCCCTAAGATGACTTCTCTCCTAGGTGATCCTCGGACCCATGTTCTCAGGGAAAAGGTAATGAATGGGCTTGGGGCGGGCGGGCCTCCTCCTCTCTGCAGACCCTGGCTCGCCCCTGGCTCTCCCCGCTGGCTCGCCCCCTGGCTCTCCTCTCCCGCCTTCTCCGCCTACTCCGTCCCCGACTAGGCGGGAACTCCGCCCGACCTGTGTGCCTTCCCGCCCAAATCTCTGTGTCCCGGATTCCTGCCTCCCTGCAGCCCAGGCCACAGTCCCTTCCCCCGGGGGACGCTTCTGTCCTCGCTGAGGCGGATCGCACCGGGTTGCAGCACAGACCCCCAGCCCACATCCCCAGAAGCCCACCGGGCAGCCCCATGTGCCCGCGGGGGGCTGGGCGGTGCGCGGACACCCTTCCGTGACAGTCCCCTCACGCATTCCCCATGCGAGCCCGCCTGAAGCCACGGAGCCCAGTTTCCTCTGGGGTGAGGTCCCCCTCTCTGGGAGTCCCACCGGGAGGTTTCTTCGTTTTATTTTTTGGGGTATTTTTATATAAATTTTTATTTGCATTGGTGTTTTGCCTGCATGTATGTCTGTGTGAGGCTGTCAGATGTTGGAGTTGCAGACAGTTGTGAACTGCTATGTGGGTGCTGGGAATTGAACCCAGGACCTCTGGAAGAGCAGTCAGTCAGTGCTCTTAACCTCTGAGCCATCTCTCCAGCCCTTTTTGGGTATTGTTTTTGTTGTCATTTTTTGCTGAATGACTTTCTATGTGGCCCCTACTGGCCTGGAATTCACTCTATAGACCCGGCTGGCCTCAGCCTCCCCAGTGCTGGGATTAAGGGGTGCCCGACAATACCAGGCACCCCCCACTGTGCTTGACCGGCCTGGTGTCACCTGAGTTTTGTCCAGTGCTCGCACGGTGAGGCCCAGGCTCAAGATCTAGGGCCCAGAAGCAAGCACTTTGGTTCTTCTTTAAGAAGCTTTGTGAAGTTCATTCAGAAAACCCAAGTTTGTTCAGGACAGCGGGGGGCCAGCCTTTGTGAACCGGTGAGGTTCGGGATACCCGCCGCTAGGTGGTGGCAGCGAGCCGCCTTTCACACGGGCCTCACCTACCCTGCTGACTCTTGCAGCACCGAGCTCATGAGGAGAGTCCGGCGCTTCCAGATCGCCCAGAACAAATGCCTGGTCATCAAGTATGCCAAAGACACGCGCTATAGCAGCAGCTTCTCCACACATGACCGGTCAGTCCCACCACCCCCTTGGTCCTGTTCTGTGGAAACCCCAGAGGCACAGGCCATTCTGGCAGATGGGCCAGGGCCAGGGGTCCTTAATGTGCTAGGAGAGCCCGGGTTCCGCTGGGTAGAGGCTGCAGATTTTTCATCTTCAGTTGTCTCCCTGCCATCAGGTGGCCTTCACCCCTCTGAAGTGTATCGCAGAGCGCTGGGCACTTCCCTTTGCAACCGGAGGGTGGGAGCTGAATAAAGTGATTTGGAGACAAGTTTGGGCTTTGGTGTTCCCGAGACACTCTTTGCTGAGTGTCCTGGGCTCACCCCACAGCCAAAGCTGACCACGAGACTGGAGCTGCTCGCCAGGATTGCTGTAGGCTGGGTCAAGGTTGAGCAGCCTGGAGTAGGGCGGGTTTGTGAAGCAGAACAGGAATGGAGTGCACAATGTCTAGGAATTAGAGCCATGCTTCCTATCAGGCTCCATGCCGAGATCTTTACTTCTCCGTGCGTGTGTAACCACGGTGTCCACCACACATCTAGAAGGACCAAGAGCGGAGGAGGCAACAAACACGGGGGTGCAGTGTCGGGAGTGGGCCACAGCCAGTCAGTGCCTCTCTGTCTGCTCTGCTCTGTCTGCTCTGCTGCGGGAGAGAGGAGAGAGCTTAAAATGCATGAGTATTGGGTTGGCTCTCTGGTTGGGTCTGAGTTTGGTGCTCTTGTGCCCAGTTCAGAGGACGGCCTCGGGCGATGGTCTTTACCTTCCACCCCCTTTCATTCAGGTTTGTGAGTTCGGGAGTTTCAAACTCGATTGGTCAGGCTTTTTTTGTTTTTGTTTTTGTTTTTGTTTTTGTTTTTTGAGACAGGATCTCTCTACAGAGCCCCGGCTGTCCTAGAACTCACAGCGATCCATCTGCCTCTGCCTCTGCCTCCCCGGTGCTAGGACTAAGGCATGTAGCAACATGCCTGGCCTCAGGATTTCACAGCAAGCCTTTACCCATTGAAGCATCTCAACCCTGTTTTTGATTTGTTTTAAAAAACGTTTTGTTTTGTTTGTTTTTCGAGACAGGGTTTCTCTGTGTAGCTCTGGCTGTCCTAGACCTCACTCTATAGACCAGGCTGGCCTCAGATGCAGAGAGATCCACCTGCCTCTGCCTCCTGAGTACTGGGATTAAAAGTGTGCGCCATCACTGCCCAGCTAGTTTTAAAATCTTTTTATCTTGTGTGTATGGGTGTTTTGGGTATATGGGTGTTTTGCTTGCATTAGGTCTGCACACCACTTGCTTGCCTGGTGCCAGAAGGAGGCCAGAAGCCATCTCTCCAACCTGTTTACTGAGACATGGATGGTCTCAATATGTAGCCTGGGTGGGCCTTGTATCTTGTGACCCTTCCTGTTCCTGGAATTACAGGCAAGCCACACCATATCCAGCCCCTCCCCACTTTAATACTAGGATTACAGACAAGTTCTGGCATGCCCGGCTTCCCAGATCTTGAAGACTATGAGGCAGTAACTAGGCCAAAGAGTTGCCAAAGTTTGTATGTACACTGGACATTGCTTGTCTGTGTTTCAGGAAACTGCTTTTTCTGAGCTTGTTTTGAAAGTGAGCTAGACACAAGACAGAAGGAAACAGAGGGAAGGCATTGGGTGCAGCCCAGCATTCCTCTCCTTAGAAAGCTATGCAGATGGACAGTGAGGGCGGGTTCCCGGTGTCCTTTAATGGCGTTCTGGAGCACATCCAAACTGGCTTTCAGAGGCCTGGGTGGGTTCTTCCTTGCCGGGAAGCGGTGTGCCTCAAGCAGGGGCCTCCCATCTCGGCTCTGGCAGCAGGTAGCCATGTGCTGTGGAGAGTCCTTTAACCCGTGGAGGGGGTTCCAGAGGGTCACTCTGCTGTCTGGCTCCTGGACACTGAACAGGACATTCCTTGTCTCAGTTGCCACTCACAGACTGTCCCCAAGCATGTCACAGCTTTCCTGGGTGCTGGACTCTCTTGTGGGGCTAGAGAGGTGGCTAAATCAATCAGAGCATTTGCTCTTCCCAAGGACCCAGGTTCAGTTCCCAGCACCCTCCTCGTGGCTCACAGCCTTTAGTGACTCCAGTTCCAGGGGAACTGACACCCTCTTCTGACCTGAGGGCACCAGACATGCCCTGGACACACAGACGTACATGCAGGAAAACCACTAATACACATATCTATAAAAAACTTCTGCCAGGGGCAGTGATGCACACCTTTAATCACAGCACGTGGTGGAAAGAGGCAGGCAGATCTCTGTGTGTTCCAGGGCAGCCTGGTCTACAGAGAGAACCCTGTCTCAAATGCATTATTTTGCTTTTTCTGTTGGCACTGACGATAGAGCCCTAGGCGTGAGCTGCCAGGTGTTCTTCCCCTGGGCTGTAGTCCACAATCCCCCTAAAATTTTAAATGTTCTGATGGCAGTAGTTAGGCCAGGGTTATCCTGGTTTGTTTATTCTGAATTTTAAAAGAAATAAAAGTAGTTTTTGCTGTTGGGCCTAGATATTCTCTGCTGCTGGCCTTGCTCAGCCTCATTTCTTCTTCCCAGGAACACCATGGACGCCCTGCCAGCCTGCCTGCTCCGGGATGTGGCCCAGGAGGCCCTGGGTGCGGCTGTCATTGGCATCGATGAAGGACAGTTTGTAAGTTGGCTTGAAGGGTAACCCATACACACACCCCCGACCCCTCTTGTCCCCCTGCTTCAGGAGTCCCTTCTTTCATCGTCTGGGAAAGTCAGAAGACTAACATGCCTCCCATGGTGTGTGAATCCCCTAGACCGTATGCATATTGTTGTCATATAGGATCTCTTTTCCCACACAGGCTAGGGGTACAGGTCAGAAGAAAGCTCCTGCCAGCCTTGACCTCTGCAGTGGCTGGGCCTCCAGTGCACTGACACCAGCCTTGGCTTGCTTTGGGGGTTAGTCTGTATGGTTTTTATTTTTCTGAAAAATCTTGCTCTTGTCCTTCCTGGCCAACTGCATCCCTGGCTTTTTTTTTTTTTTTTTCCCCCAGGGCTTCCTCTGACTGGGTGGGAATTGTCTTCTGTGGTCTTAATTTCCTTCCCAGTCTTGGAAGTTTTGGCTGGAAGCCCCTCTCTTGAGTGCCTGAGGCAGGCTGGGGATGTTTGACCGCAGGGCACCCACCTAGCACGCACAAGGCCCTGGGTTCCATCCCCAGCACCCCGTGAACAGGGTGCGCTAGGTGCCTATAATTCTAGCACCAGAGACGGAGGTGGGAATCAGTTCAAAGTATCCTAGTTTAAGGTCGACTTGGGCTATACAAAGCCATATAAACAAAAAGGGTCTGGCTAGTCTGGCCATACTTTTTTGTTTTGTTTTTTGCCAGTTTTACGTTATATCTAGTCCACGGGGGAGGCAAGCACAGAGGCTTAACAAATGTGCACCAGACTCCAAAATTTTTTCTTTTGTTTTCTTTTCTTTTTTTTTTTTTTTTCTAGATAGGGTTTCTCTGTATAGCTTTGGAGGTTATTGTCCTGGAACTTGCTCTGTAGACTAGGTTGGCCTCAAACTCTCAGAGATCCACCTGCCTCTGCCTCCTGAGTACTGGGATTCAAAGCGTGAGCCAGCAGACTCTAAAACAACATCATAGATGTTTTCAAAAATATCTGTTGGTGGGTAAGGTGGTGCTGTAGAGTCTCTGTACTTGGGAGACTAAGGCAGGAAGAGAATCAGGAATTCAAGGCCAGCCTCAGCTTCAGGGTGAGACCTTGTCTTAAAAATCTAGAATAGGGCCAGTGAGGTGGCTCAGTGCACACTCCTAGAGACCTGAGTTTGATCCCTGGGACCCACAAAATGGTCAAAGCAGAGAGCCACCTCCACAGAGTTGTCCTCTGACCTCCACACATATGCTAAGGTATGAGTGAGAGCCCCCCCAATCATATGTAGTAATAAACATTTTAAGACAGATAAATGGGCTGGGGAGAAGGCTCAGTTGTTGAGATCACTTGCTGGTGGTGACCTAAATATGATTCCCAGCACGCATGTTTGGCAGCTCTGGCTGCTTATAACTTCAGTTCTGAGGATCTGATGCTCCTGGCCTGTATGGGCACCTACAGGCATGCACACACACATACCCTCACATAGACACATAAAAGCTTAAAGTCTTAAAAGTTTAGTTGTCAAATAAAGATGGAACATATGTTCCTAGTGTGCAACCTAGTGACATAATAAACTACTCGATAGAAAATAATTTCTCACTGTCCTGTGGCTCCTAGTGGCTTGCTCACAAAGCTGAATGGTAGCCCTGGGTGGCCTGAGGCTCTCTGTCACTTGCTGACATTCTGCAGGCTGGAATTTGCTATGGCTCTCTGGCTGTCTACCCCTCTCACACTCTACTCTGGAAGGAGCCAGGCTGGTTTGGGGGGGGGGCAGACTGCTTCCCAGAACAGAGTGAAGCAGCCCCGGCCGTGATGACCTTCAGGTATAGATCCTGTCCCCGCCCCAGGCCCCAGCCTTCCCTCACCATGCTCTGTGACTGCTCTGGATTTCATTCCCACAGTGACGTGCACGTTCCAGCGGTTGGCATCTGTCCATCCACCTGGACAAGCCAGCTCTGTTCTCGTCCTCAGAGGGAAACCTTGGAGCATGAGGGCTGTGCAGACATTATCCATGGAAGAACAGGGCACAGCCCCTCCCTCAGGCCTGCTGCAGCGACCTGCTTATTAGCTATGCTCTCCTGGTGTTCCCCAAGGCTCACACTTGGCAGCAGCCTACCAATTTCCCCAGTCTGTTACCCGTCCTGACCGACAGGAGAGACTTTCTATGCTTTCCCCCCTTATGACCAAGAAAAATTAATTCATCTAGTGGATACTTTGACTTTTTTAAGGTTTATTTATGTATGCATTTAATGTGCTAGTGCTCTATCTGCATGTATGGCTGCATGCCAGGAGAGGGCATCAGAACCCATTATATATGGTTGTGAGCCACCATGTTTGGGGGGATTTGAACTTGGGACCTCAGGAAGAATAGCCAGTGCTCTTAACCACTGGACCATCTCTCCAGCTCCATACTTTGAGTTTTGAGACGGGGCCTTGCTCTGTGGTCCAGGTCAGCCTCCTGAGTGCTGGGGTTACCGTCCCAGACCCCAGTGAGTATTCCTTGTGTATGCTATGTATATACACCACAGTTATTCCATTGTGCCCCAGGCTCTAGGACTGCTCTTTACAAAATTCAGGGTCTCCCTATTGTAATAGAAAGGGGCCTCCCCTCCTTCCTGTGTCCTTGCTTTGGACAGTGGGTAGAGGGTCGTCTAGGGCCCCGGAAACCACAGCTGAGAGTATGGAGCCTTCCAGGTATTCATTTGCCAGGGCCAAGGCCCTCAGGCTTCTTGGCAAGAGTTGAAGTTAGGCAACTACAAGAACTTTGTGTTTTGTTTCTGTTTGACACAAGTGATGACAGGCTTAACCTAGGACACAGTAGAAAGACACTAGAAAGGGGAAGTTTGTCACATCAGCGTCTCTGAGCCAGAGACCACTGGGAATGCCCTGTGAGCTCGACATGGTGGGTTCTAAACCCTGCCCTGCCACAGGACAGACAGCAGTCATGGAACAGTGGGACTCTAGAGATGGGAGAGAGCTCCCTTGGTCATTTGGCCAGAGGGCTGGAGCCTGGCTTTGCTGTGGACCAGGAAACTTCAGGAACATGAACCCTTAGTTGTGGGAGGAAGCCGGGCAGTGGTGGCGCACGCCTTTAATCCCAGCACTCAGGAGGCAGAGGCAGGTGGATCTTGTGAGTTTCAGGACAGTCAAGGTTATTATATAGAGAGACCCTGTCTTGGAAAACCAAAAAAGAAGTTGTGGGAGGGGCCTGGGAGGAGGGTGGTGCCTGACTGGTTCCTTTTGGCATAGACTGTACCTATGTTTTCTTGGTGTTCAGATATGAGTGGGGAGAAGTCTTTATCCATGGTGGCTAGGGTACCTTGCCTGATATTGGCCCAGGAGATTATGCTCAGCCAGTGCCAGGACTCTGAGTGAGTGCCAGCCCAGCCTGGATGCTTCTAATTATATACATGTGTTTTTATAGAGCAGACCATGTCACATGCTGTGACTATTGTAGGAATAGCTGGGTCTAGGGACCAATCACATCCATTCCAAGTTTCTGCCCTTTTGGCTCTGGCATTCTAGGTTCTGGAGACAAAACTGGAACTTCCAGCTCACCCATGCTGGTGGACTACAGCTGGGAGGGACTGAGGAGGACGGCACCTGGGAATGGGGGAGCATAAGGGGGGGGGCACAGTGGCAGCACCTATGAACTCAACACTCAGAAGGCTGAGGCAGGGGGCTGGGGAGAGAATTCAGTTAATGAGGCACTGGCTATGCAAACACGACCTGGGCTCTGATCCCTAGCTCCCTGTAAAACACTGGTTATAGCCAGTGTCCATAAGCCCAGCATTAGAGAGGCAGAGGCAGGCAGGCCTGGAGCTTGCTTTTCAGCCTGCCTAGCTCAATCATTGAACTCTAGATTTAGTGAGAGACCCTGTCTCAAACACAAAGTGGAAAAGCCAGACTTGGTAGCATAGGCCTTTAATCTTAGAACTTGAGAGGCAGAAGCAAGTAGATCTCTGAGTTCAAGGCCAGCCTAGTCCACATAGCAAGTTCCAGGCCAGCCAGGGCTACACAGTGAGACTCTGTCTCAAAAAGGAAAAAGGGGAAAAAAAAAAAAAGAGAAGGAGGAAAGAAAAGTAAACATACAAGGTGAAGAACTATTAAGGAAAATGCCCAGTGTTGGTTTTGGCCTATACAGGTTCACACACATTCTTGGACATGACATGTATGCTAAACAGAAAAGGGCCTGAAAGAACAGAAGCCAGCAAGATGAGGTGTTGGGAACAGGGCAAGGGCCCACCTGCGGCTGTCAGGAGCCAACTGGCCAACATGCACACATGCCTCTTGCTTCTGTGTTTCCCTGGCTGTCCTGGAGATCAGGCTGGCTTTGAACTCACAGAAATCCACCTGCCTCTGCCTCCTGAGTGCTGGGATTAAAGGCCTGTGACACCACACCTGGCCAAGTTCCTTCCTTTTTTTTTTTTTTTTTTTTTGTGTGTGTGTGTGTGTGTGTGTGTTCGCGCGCGCATGCATGCATGCATGCATGCGTGTTTAGCTGTATGTCTGTATGTGCACTGTGTGTGTGGTGCCCAGAAGAGGGCATCTGGGCCCCTGGAACTAGAATTAACAGATGGTTGTGAGTGATCGCACTGGTACTAACAACCTGAACTAGGTCCTTTGCGAGAGCAACAAGTACACTTACCTGCTGTGCCATCCCAGCCCTCCCAAAATTCTTTTTTGTTTGTTTGGTTTGGTTTTTGTTTTGTTTTTTAAGATTTTATTTATTATGTATACAACATTCTGCTTCCATATATATCTGCACACCAGAAGAGGGCACCAGATCTCATAACGGATGGTTGTGAGCCACCATGTGGTTGCTGGGATTGAATTTAGGCCCTCGGGAAGAGCAGCCAGTGCTCTTAACCTCTGAGCCATCTCTCCAGCCCCGGTTTGCTTTGTTTTTAAAGACAGGGTTTCTCTGTATTGCTTTGGAGCCTGTCCTGGAACTAGCCTGTCCAGGCTAGCCTCGAACTCACAGAAATCCACCTGCCTCTGCCACTGCCTCCTGAGTGCTGGGATTAAAGGCCCAAAGTCTGTTTTAAACATAATCTGTGTTTAGCTTCTAAAGCTGCCTGAAAAGCATTGAATTTTGTTCACTGACAGTTGTAGAAGGCAGAAATCCAAGATTGATTAAAAGTATAGCAGGGCCAGTTTCTTCAGAGGACGTCTGGGAGGTTCTAGCCTCTCCATCTACACAGGAGTAGGGAAGTCTACTGGCAAGCCCCAGATAGCGTCACACTGCTGAACCACGGGGAAGGGACTGGGTAGCAGTGGGTGTGCAGGTGGGTGTTTCACAGGAATGGTGGCGTGGCCTGGTCTCTAGCTCTGGGCTAATGTGCGTGGTCAGGTCCATCAGGGTCTCCATGAAGCCGCTGCTCAGGGTAGCCACCTCACTTCTTCCTCCACCAACTTTCCCAGTTCCCTGACATCGTGGAATTCTGTGAAGTGATGGCCAATGCAGGCAAGACAGTGATCGTGGCAGCATTAGACGGAACTTTCCAGAGAAAGGTAAGGTGTCTCACTCAGGCTTGGCAGCGGGTCCTGAGAGGGAGGTGGGGATCTTGAGCCTGAGACAGTACACAAGATGTCCCCAGAAGTAGGTATGTTCAGAATAGGAGCTACTGGCTGGTGGGTGCTCTGAGTGGGCCAAGGGGTCTCTATAGAGCACGAGGGTGTGGCTTTCTGGAAAAGCAGGGTTGGGATGGGGTACCCTGAATCATAGGTTTAAAAGAAGTGTTGGGGCTGGCAGAGCTCAGGCTGTAACATGCTGGCCTTGCATGGCATGCAGCCCTACGTTTGATCCTCAGAGCCCTCTTAAAAATGCCAGACATGGTGGTGTGCTTTTATTATCCCACCCCTGGGAGGCAGCGGATCTCAGCTCACCAGCATGCCAGCCTAACCTAAATGGCAACCTCCAAGCCAGTGGAAACCCTATTCCAAAAAACAAAAACCACCAAGGTGGACAGTGCTGGAGGAACACCCCCTAAGCTTGTCTCTGGCCTCTACACACATGCACATGTGAACACAGACAGAAAGGTCATTTAAGACAGCACTTAAATGGGCTTTAAGCACTGAACTTTGTTCCTGGCTAAATGACCCACACACCGGCTGCCCTGTATATATAGGCTTTCGGCAGCATCTTGAACCTGGTGCCCCTGGCTGAGAGTGTGGTGAAGCTGACTGCCGTGTGTATGGAGTGCTTCCGAGAAGCCGCCTACACCAAGAGGCTGGGCCTGGAGAAGGAGGTACCTTCTTGTGCTGCTGTCCATGGGGCGGGATGGGGCGGGCTTGGGCTGAGTCCTACCCTCATGTATCCCTTTCGTGGCCCTGTCCACCAGGTGGAGGTGATTGGTGGAGCAGACAAGTACCACTCGGTGTGCCGCGTGTGTTACTTTAAGAAGTCCTCGGTACAGCCTGCTGGGCCAGACAACAAAGAGAACTGCCCGGTGCTGGGACAGCCTGGAGAGGCCTCAGCTGTCAGGAAGCTCTTCGCCCCTCAGCAAGTCCTACAGCACAACTCCACCAACTGAGAGGACCTGGGGCCTGCCAGCTCCTACCCCAGGTTGGATTCTCAGAGAGCAGAGGACGGGCTGGGACTGCCGTGCCTGATGGACAATGTGCCCTGGAGAGGCTCACCCGCTTGTCACAGCCTTTTTTAGTTCCCTTCTTGGTTGCTGAGATGCTTTAGCCCAGACTAGAGCCAGCGCCTGCCTGGTGGTTAGGGTTTGACATCCAGCCAGAGGTGAGGACAAAGCCACAGGGTGTTGTGACACAGAGGTGCTGGCTTCTTCCTTCTTGGTGGCTTCCAGTCTCAAGGGCCCCGCCCCCGAGCAAGGCTTCACAACCCTCACTTTGTGCTGAAGCTTGACCCACAATGGCCCCTAGGGCTGTCTTTACAAAGTGGTGCTGTTCTTGCCCTACTCAGAGCCCCAAGACTCAGGACTCTTGGTGAGAGCCTGTGCTTCTTGTGCTATAGTGTAAAATGAATAATTAATAATATTAAAGTTTCTACTTGAGAGCATATTTCTCTTTAACCTGGATTTCCCCAAATTTTGCAGCAGGGTCCATATGACTTGGGGGCAGGGATTTCTTCCCATGTCTTTTTGTAGCACTAATGGACTCCACCACAGCCCAAGGGGAACTTCTGTCTGCTTGGTTTTGGGACAAAAATGGAAAAGGAACCAGGGAGAGACAAGGGGATGGTGTTTCTAGCCAGCCCTGGGAGGTCAGGTTTTGTGAAGAGACACTTGGTAATTTGGGTTGATTAAACAGCTCAGACATGCCTTGGAAAGTGGACTGTGACAACTCCCTTGAAGGCCAAAGGCCTGGGTCTAAGATGTGTCCATGTGTCCATGGTGCTGTGCCCAGCTTCAAGGTATGCTGTGGCTGGAGGCTGACAGTTCAGAGCCTGCTATAGCAGCCCCGTTAGTTTATACTTGGGATTTTGAAAGGCACTGTCAGAACCCACTATTGATGGCCTCATCATTGCACAAAAGCCAAGAATTGCCTCAGGGGCACTCTGCTTCCTCATAGAGATGGGTCCACTCTATGACATGTCCCAGGAAGGCGTCAAAAGAGACCAGACTAGACCTCCCTGACTGTGCCCTTCACTTCTGATGGAAAATGTCTGCTCCAGAAGAGGCATCTAGCCCACTGGTCATTCTGTGCCCCTGCCCTGGCCCCACCCCCCACAGGCTCTAGGAAGGCTACAGAACCCAGGCAAGAACCCTTTTTGGTTTTTCGAGACAGTTTCTCTGTGGCTTTGGAGGCTGTCCTGGAACTAGCTCTTGTAGACCAGGCTGGTCCCGAACTCACAGAGATCCGCCTGCCTCTGCCTCCTGAGTGCTGGGATTAAAGGTGTGCGCCACCACTGCCCAGAAAGAACAATTCATCTTTACAAGCTGACACAGTGGCTATTTTAGGGTGCAGCAGAAGGCAGTGTGAAGAATGAGGACCCCATTAGGGGGAGCTGCCTCCCCATGTTCAAAGTACATGTTCTAGCTGGGCATGATGGCTTATAACTTCTCCCAGCACTCAGGAGGCAGAGCCAGGTGGATCTCTCTGAGTTCCAAGAGAGCCAGAGATATACAGTGAGACCTTGAAAAAAACTCTGGAACCAGGCTGAGGCAGGAGGATTGCCTCAAGTTGGAGCTAGCCTGGTTACATAGTGAGATCCTGGTCTAGCTAAGCATGGCAGCACAGGCCTGTGCTTCAGGGTCTCAGTATGTTTTGACGCCAGCCTGGGCTATGTAGATGCTATCTTTGAAAGGCTGGGGTATGGCTCAGTTGCCTAGCAGGAAGTCCAGGGTTTGAAACCAAGCACTTGGGGAGGGACAGATCTTTGGCTATTTAAGTTTGAAGCCTTTTCTCAAAACATTACCAATCAAAGTATATTTCTACCCCTAGCGTGAGGCGCCATCAAGGACAGCACACTGAGAAAAAAAAAAAAAAACCATTTATTCCATCTCCCAACTAGTCTACAGAACCTGAGGGCAGGGGTGTCCCCACCAAGTCTCCAATACATTCAGTGCAGGGGTTCCTGCCCTCCTCATTTGTATCTAATAGCTGCTGGGGAATATTTACATAAAGCTGGGTGTTCTCTCCAGGCTAAGCTCCCTCCTGCCAGGGGCAGGAGCAAGAAGAGAGAGATAGCCAGTCCCCTACCTGCTCCACAGCTGTCAGGCAAGCAGTCTGGGGACAGTTGGCACAGTGGTGACCCCTGAAGACGGCAGTGAGCATAGAGGCCAGCCAGAGCTGGGTAGTGAACCTGAGTGAGGGAGTGAGTAGCCTAGGCCCAGCACTCCAAGGAGATAGGTGCATGAATCCCCAACCTTGTCTTTGGAAGGAAAAAAGACAGTTGGGACTCCGGTGGCCTCAAGCTGAGCTCAGCCTTCCAGCTGAGGAGAAACTATGGCATTTGTCAAAAGCAGGCACCTGGTTCTGGCTGAGATGGGGTTCTGGGTTATCAAAAGCAGTATGAGCTGAGCACACAGTTCAGTGGTGGCACTGGTTAAGCAAATTCAAGGCCCTGGGCACCATCCCCAGTACTGGGGGCTGGCAGCGAGAGAGAAGATCTTAGTGAAAAACCCTTTCCTAAAAAATGCCCTGGAGGATTGGGTGGGCAGCGGTGAAACCCCTTGGGCACAGGCACTTCAGGTGTGCTTTGCCAGGCTGCAGCTAGGATGCAGAAATGGGCTCTTTGGCTGTCAACTGTAACAGGCAAGGGACTGCAGTTCCAGGCAGCAAACCTCCAGAGAGAAGTCCAGGGGAGAGGAGTGGCCCTGGGCTGCTCAGTACACAGGGGGAGGCTGGTAGCCCTCAGTGGTCTCCACATTCTGGGTGAAGGGTGGCTGCTGGTAGTTTTCCACCGAGGAACTGGGGTAGGAGGCGTAGGCTGTGTTAGGGTCTGGGGTGGGGTCAACGTAGTTCTCAATGAAGGCATCCACTCCAGCCTTGTAGCGCTGGTAGGCCAGGAAAGCCAGCACACCCTGCAGGGGGAGACTCAAGGTGTGGGCAGGGCAAGGGGACCTCAGTCTTCACCGAAGACTCCAGAGCTACCCTCCCCAGCCCACCTACCCAGGAAAAGATGGAGAAGAAGCTGAAGGTGATGGCGGCCCGTGCTGAGTCCGCTCCCACCAACACATCCTCAGCTTTAGTGGCTGCCCACTGGTTGGTCAGGAAGCAGAAACCAACGAACCACAGGAAAGTCCAGAGAGCTGGGGAGACAACAAGGAGGGAAGAGTGGGCCCCAGGGACTCATGGGATTCCCAGGAGGGACTCAAGGAAAGGACCCTCCCAAGGCTTTGTGCTGTGTGACCTATAGAAGCAGAGGGAAGTGAGGGATTAGGGGTCAGCTGTTAGGTGGGATGGGTGAGTCCAGAAACCCGATGCCACGCCTCACCCTTATGCCCCAACACCCTTGAGTTTCAGAATGCCTTGTGTGCCATCCCAGCATACAAGGGGACCTAGGGGAAGCCTCATTGACCCTGAGTGGCTATCGGCAACCCCTCCCAACAACACCAAGGCCCCTCAACTGTGAAGCCTGGTGTACCAGTTCCACACTCGTACCTGAGAAGAGCAGGTCACCAATGACCAGGTACTTGCGATCGGTCGCATTGCTTATCTGGGAGAAAAGGGCATCAACCACAAGGAAGAAGGCTGAGGCCAGGAAGGCCAGCACCCCGATGGCACTGCCGTAGCGGCAAGCATCCTCATTCTTGTTGAACACACAGTGTAACTGATCAGTATTGTGAGTGTTGCTGTAGCCCTCGCCGAAGATGCAGGAGAAGACGATCAAGGCCAAGACCTGAGGGGAGAGGAGCACTGATGGGCAGACGCAGACGCCTGTGGGCCATGGCCCGGACACACTCCCCTGGAGCCCAGAGATGAGGATTCTGGCAGGGGCATCAGATGTCTCTGGTGTCTCTCTCATGATGCTCTGTTATGAGACTGGTATTTCAACCCCTTCTGGACTCCTGGGAGTCAGGTGACAGGCAGGCTGTGGCCAGGGCATCATCCACAGTTCCTCACCACCAGGGGCCGGAGAATAGACTGGGCTATTGCAGGAAAGGGCTATCCCTTGCTGCCTGACGACAGGTAGCATCTCATTTAGGCTTGTTACAAAGACAAAGAATAATCCACTCCATTTGCAAATGAGATTTGGGTTGGGTTTTCTTTCTTTCTTTTTTTTTTTTTTTTGAAACAGGGTTTCTCTATGTGGCCCTGGCTGTTCTGGAAATCGCTCTGTAGACCAGGCTGGCCTTGAACTCACAGAGATCAACCTGCCTCCAGAGTGCTGGGATTAAGGGCATGTGCCACCACCTCCTGGCTGTTTTTTTTGTTTGTGTTTGGTTTTTGGTTTGGGTTTTTCATTGTTGTTTCTTTGGGGAGAAGGGGGTCTCATTTAGCTCAGGCTATACTCTGTGTAACCCAGGATGACCTTGCCTCCTGACCCTCCTGCCTCTACCTCCCAAATGCTGGGATTACAATCATGTACTACCATGCTTGCTTGGGGCTCCCCCAATCCATCCCATCCTCATTGGGCAAGTACACCACAGGTTGTTGGTGGGTTTTGTTTGTTTTTGAGAAATGGTCTCACTATGTAGCCCTGGCCATCCTGGAACTCAAGAGAACCCACCTCCGATCGCTGGGATTCAAGGCCTGTGCCGCCATACCTGCTCCAGTAACGAGCACTGACTACTCTTGCAGGGGACCTGGGTTTGGTTCCCAGCACCCACATGCGGCTCATAACCACCTGTAACTGCAGTGCCAGGGGACTAGAAAACCACCTTCTGACCTGTGGACACCAAGCACACACACGGTGCACCTTCACAAACACAGGCTCTCACTCTGGCTGGGGCTGGCCTGAAGCCTCTGACGATCACCCTGCCTCACCCACCGCAGTACTGAGATTTCAGGTGTGAGCCACCACATCCCATTGGAAGGGGTTTTCAACAAGATGGGCTACAAAAATCACGGCGGCGAAACTCAAGAGTTTCATCCAACCCTCACCCCAGCACCCTGTCCCGAGTCAATTCTACAGCACCAACCAACATCTTCCAGAACACCCTTCAACAGCAGCCCTACCTAGCCCCTCCAAGTCTCCGCTAGTGCAAGTGGCTCCCCAGCTGGCCGGCCTTCCTTCCAGCTTTTCTGGCACGCTGGCTGGTCCCCTCCAGAACCCAGCCCGACACTTGTTCCCCTCAGAACAAGGTTCCTGGGGGCGGTCCGATGCGCAGGTCTGTGGGCCAGGCTCAGAGCCCTCCCGGGAGCCAGGGCCGAGGTGGGAAACTCACCAGCTGGTGTCCAGTTTGGAAAACAGCCCTTTTGGAATCGCCCTAGTCATTTCGCCCCCTTCTCACACCTCAAGGCGACGGCCAAGCCCACCTCAACAGGGCAGATGGAGTCGAGCCTGTGGGCCCCTGGCTGCCTCCAGACTCCTAGGCCAGAGCAAACCGATTCTCCCGGAACCGGCACGCTCTCCAAAGGGCTGTGGAACTGAAGTCACACGCCCCGCCTCCCGCTGCAGCTGAAGCCGGAACTCCGGGGCCGGCTGCAGGCAGAGTCTGGGTCAGGACTCCTGGCACTGCCAGCCTGACTGACTGACGGGGTACAACCCAGGACGGAGCCTACCGCTAGGCTGAGAGGCTCGGGGAGCCGGGGCACCTCCAAGACTGCAGGCCCAGATCCCCTGGGGCAGCAGGCCCAGCCTCAGTCCCGCAGCTGAAGCCTCAGCCTTCGGGGTTTGCGTCCCACGATACAGACACCGCCATGCGCGCCTGGTACCGAAGGGCTCGCCCGGGGCTGCTGGGGACGGCTGCGTTCTGGGCGGTTTAGCAGGCCTGCTGCCAGCCTCCGAGCGGGAAGGAAACCCTCCTTCACTCGGGGCGCCAGGCCACCCCCTCCTTGCACCCCACGTGGCCCCAGAAAGTCCCTTCCAGGTGAATTCCCCACGCCGGGAGCCGCGGCGTGCAGGCCACCTGCTGCGGCGTGGCCCGAAGCCTCACCCACTGCCAGCAGGGCGAAGGGCGGGCCTCCGCCGAGCACCTCCGGGACCTCCCGCACCGGGGCGGCGGGGGCCGGGGCCCGAAGG